ACCCAAGGACTGGGGCGCTAGGAGGAGATGGAATAGACTTTCAAGTAAACGTTTTGGGAAGCCAAGTAATGATTTACCACCACACTAAAATTCTCCTCAACTAATAAATCAATGTTCCTTCCAAGCGGTATTGATAGGAATTAAAAATGAAATATATAGGGTTAAAACCCTTTTTTGTTCTATCTATTTTAATAAAAAGTTTTTTTTGTTTGTCTCTCTCATTAAGAAAATTCTTTTTTGATCTTTAAAGCTTAAAATTCAACTTTTTTTTTAGTTCCTTTGTTATTTTTCTTCTCATATGGCATGTTATTTTAATGAAAATCTCGAAATAAAAAGACTAAAAAAAAGCTTTTCTCATATAGATGGACTAAAATGAGGGCCTTTTTTATGTAATTAAAAATGGTGTTTTTTTAATGTAAAGAGAATAAAAAGAGCTAAAAAAAAATCTATTTTTGGTCATCTATTTTGAAATTTATGTCATTTAACATATTATATGTGTAAAAAAAAATAAAGAAACTAAAAAAGGGTTAGATTGTAAAATTCAATGATCAAAAAAGAATTTTTTAAGTAAAAATATTTAATTTTTTTTTATTAAAATAGAAAAACCAAAGATAAGATTTTCACTAATATATAATAAACATAAATGAGAAAGCAAGAAACTCTCCCATCAAAAATCCCATCAGAAACAAACGAAGGCAAGAAACTCTTTGAAATAAGATTTATAAAAATTATTAATAATTTTATTATAAGTGTTATGTAAGTTATTTTAATTAAATAATTCTTTAAATAAATATTAAATTTTATTTTTTAATATTAATTAATATAAAAAATATAGTAATTATAATCTTGACTTGTAACTAAAGTAAGGATATAAAATTCTAATTATAATAGGCAAAATATTGTGCCAAACCATTAGAAATGAAGACAGGAGCTTGAAGGTTACCGTTAGTTGAGGTGGACTTTTTAAACATGTTGGAGCCATTTTTATGATATGGATGTTGACATGGCCCCATTTTTACACATTTTAGTCTTATATGGCAATTTTTCTATTTTTTTTTTCTTTTTTTTTTCCTTCTCCACATCAAGACCCAATGAAATCTCCAAAACTACCCGTTTAATTAAAGAGATAATTACAAGTTTAAAGGCTTAATTAAAGGGAATCAAACTCGTATAAAAGATTCCCTATTCCAATATCCTTCTCTGATAACAATCATCTATTTCTGTGATGCCATTCAAGTGCACAATCCTTCATGAATCCAAATCCACTCCAAATCAAGCAAAGTCAAACAAGAAATATAGAAGGATCAATTCTATATTCAAACCAAGGATAGAATTGGACTGGTCATGTTCTCCAATTCATCAAAAAGATTCAAAACTCAATGACGATTATGAGAAATTCATCATCGAAAAAACAAGGGGAAAAGACTACAAAATTTATAGGATTAAGACCCCATAAAAGGAAAATCCAAATCTACATCCACAAAATCCCTACCTAAGCAATTGATCATGGCGAGACCCCTGTTAAACTCTTCTCAATCTTCTCATTTGTTTTTTGTTCTTGTTCATAATTCTTTACCACCAGTTTCTTCCACCTCCCAAAATTATTCCATTTCTCCTCCCAAACAAATATGTTGGGGAACAAGCCCAACACCCATAGCGGGCTTAGCTCAGCAAGCCCACTTGCATGTATAGGCCTCGAAAGATGAACCCAAGTGTGGATGCACTCATGTGGATGTTGACACTTGGATTAACTAGGTGTTTGCATGTAGCATATCCTGTCATTAATGGAGGCTATAAATACCCCCATCTACTCCCATGTAAGGGCATTAACTCCACTACGCTTCTCTCTCTATAATTATTCTTCTTAAGAGCTTTTTGCTCTAAAACTAGAATATTATTGACTTGGGTGTTGGAGTGTTTTCTCGAGAAAACATCCTCAGGTATTTTAGGTGTTGAAGCAGCGAAGGATCTACACAGTAGGATTTCGATTAGCTACCCAAACATTTGGCGTCATCTATGGGAAACGACAAAGAAATTGTGTTGCTTTACGGATTAAAGTTAAACATGGTGCGTACCTTCACAAGAAACCATCCTCCCCTAATGGACAAGATGGATGATCATAGTAATACTTAGCTTCCAGAATATGATCTCAACAACTTTCAACCAATGCCAATAAACCTTTTTGTAGAAAGGGCAAAAGGAGAACAATCATGCAGTTCCGATGATGAATGAACACCCACAGGATATGCCACTAAGCCCAAAGAACAATTCCAAGGACTAGGAGGCACACGACGAAGAGAACCCGCCCATAGTGTGTCACGACCTAGTAGGCCTTTAGAGTTGGCTCAGGCACCCGAGCTAGAAGAAAGAACTAGGGTTTTAGAAATGGCCATGGGAAGAATCCTTTCCCATTTGATTCCTAATGACCCTTTAATTCCCCTGTTGAACAGAGTGGGCAACCCACGGGAGATTTTGTCTGTAATTCTCCTACTTTAAGCAAGGTGGTGGTACCAACAAAACCTAGAGGAAGTGGGAAGCTGAACCCCAAACCTAGCTTGTCAAAGCTCAATGAGGAGTTATTAAAGAAGAATATTGAGCTCGAAAAGCAACTTGAGGGTTTACAGAAGTCCATTGATGAGCTGAAAAGCCCCAGGTTGCGTCAACAAGCTCCCGACCTAGATAGCGCTACTCTTAACCTACCCATCACTGTAGAACCTTATCAAGAAAGGTTCAAGATTCCCCATTTAGAAATGTATGATGGCTCCAGTGACCCAGATGAACATATGCATACTTACCAGGCCATCATGAAGATACAAACGCAACGAATGCCATGATGTGCAAAGTATTTCCAGTAACTTTAAAGTCAACTGCTAGAAGGTGGTATCACAAACTCCCCAAGCATTCCATCACCTCTTATCCTCAACTATTTACTTTGTTCTCCAACAAGTTTGTGAGTCAACGAGAAATAAAGTGCACAGCCACTAAGCTGATGAAAGTACACCAGAAGGAGGAAGAGTCATTGAGAGACTACATGCAGCGATTTAATAAGGCCACCTTAGACATTGATAATGTACCTAATATAATCTGCCTATCCGCCTTATTACATGGCCTTAAACTAAGTCAATTTTTAGATGATTTGTTGGAAAATCCACCGAAATCATGGAACGACGTGAACGACAAGTTGACAAGTTTCATTTTGTTAAAGGACTATCAATCATCCAAAAGGCGAGCTGATGATAAGCAAATAAAAGAACAACGACAACCAGAGGGAAGAAAAAAAAAGAAAAAGAAAAAGTTGTTGATCGAAGAGGAAAACCTACCAGTTTTCCAAAATATGCAAACTACATCCTGCTGAGCTCATCGAGGTCTCAAATCTTGGCACAGATCCAACATTGGATCAAAAGACCACCCTCACCTCCTTATGATTCAACATAGACAGACAGGAGCAAATATTGTGACTATCATCGTGGATACGGCCATCATACAAACAACTATCAAAGCCAAAAAGACGAGTTGGAATTTTTAGCTTGGAATGGAAAACTAGAAGACCACATCCAGAAGTCTTTTCCTCAACAACCTAGCCAAACTCATTACGTGCAAGACTATAGTCGATCTCATGGGCAGGGATATCAATATCAAGATGGTAATAATCAAAACATGTATCAAGGGAATCAATTTCCTTTTGAGCTTGGCAAGGGTTATAGAAGACATTAGCCTAATAAAAGAGGACAAGGACAGAGGGTCGTTGCCCAGAGCCAAAAAGACAATAATGGGATAGGTTATACTGGAATTCCTCCACCTTGGGGCACAATAAATATGATCTCAGGTGGAATTCATAGAGGGGGACAAAACGCCCACGGCTGTAAAGCTTATGCTCGTCATGTGATGACGGTGAATAAGAATAGACCTTTAAAGTGACCATTTGATGAGGCAGAGTGGGAGAATGCAGCAATTACATTTAGTCCTTCAGATTATAAAAGGCCAGAAGGAGAACCCGACATCACTATGCCTCAAGCTGATCCATTTGTAGCTACAGTCCACATAGGTAATCACAATGTTAATAAGGTCTTCGTTGATACAAGTAACTCCCCATATATCTTATATTGGAGCTGCTTCCAAAAAATGCAACTAAACCCAGCCTCTTTGAAAAAGTATGAAGGACCTATATACGGGTTTGATAATCAGCTCGTTCTAGTTGAAGAGGTGGTCACCTTCCCCATTTATGTAGGGGACGAGCCTTGATATATGATGATATCGGTGAATTTTTTGGTCGCAAAGATGGAATAGGCCTTTAACGCCATAATTGAAAGAGCTACGTTGTGTGAGCTAAAGGTTGTCATCTCTCAACCACACCTGTGCATGAAATTCCCAACCCCTCATGGAATAAGAGTGCTAAAGCGGAACCAGAAAATGACTAGAACCTGTTGCCAAGACATGTTCAAAAAGGTCGAGCACACTGCAGCACCTAAAGCTTCCCCTTCCTAGATTCCCCAACTATGTTAGCCAAGTCAACAAATGATGAGCATCTCTGACATAAATCATAGACATGAAAATGTGGGACAAAAAGCCTAGCCGGTGGAGCCCATGGAAATAGTTCCCTTAGACCCTAGTGAACCAAAAAAAACCATGAAAATTGGAACTAAAATCATAGCTGAAGAGAAGAGAGAGCTTCTAGAGTTTTTGAAATCTAGCAAAGATGTCTTTGCTTGGACGACAAATGAAATGCCAGTAATTCCAACAAAATTTGCAATTCATAAGCTCAGTACAGACCCTACAAGGAAACTAGTGGTGCAAAAATGTTGCCTTTTTAGTCCTGAAAAGCAGGCTGCCATAGATGAAAAAATAGAGAAACTGTTGCAGGCGGGTATCATTAGAAGGGTAGAATATTCGAAATGGGTTTCCAATCTCGTACTTGTCAAAAAATCTAATAGGAAATAGAGAATGTGCATTGATTTCACAAATTTAAATGATGTTTGTTCAAAGGACCCACAACTTTTACCCAATGTTGAAAAGCTAGGTGAGCGAGTAGTTGGTCACAAGTGAATAAGCTTTTTAGATGCAAGCTCAACATATCACTAAGTCCAATTATGGTTAGACAATCAAGAGAAAATAGCATTTTATGCTAGGGATGTGATCTATTATTACGTGATGATGTCGTCGGGTTGAAAAACGCAGGAGCTACATATCAAAAATTAGTTCAGCTCATTTTCAAGCTTCAAGTGGGAAAAAATATCAAAGTCTATGTTGATGATATGATTGTCACAAGTTTACGAGCTAAAGATCACATTGACAACCTAAATGAAACATTCCAAAATTTACGTTCAGCACAAATGAAGCTAAACCGCTTAAAATGTACATTTGGTGTAGACTTAGGCAAATTTCTGGGATATGTGGTCTCAAAAAAAGGAATTGAAGTAAATCCAAACAAGGAACAGGTCGTGGAGTAGATGGAGTCCCCTAAAACAGTGAAAGACGTACAACGTCTTTTAGGCTGCCTCGCCACCTTACATAGATTTATCGCTAGGTCAGCAGAAAGATGCCTTTCATTTTTCAAAGCTTTAAGAGAGCCTAAAACTTTCCAATGGACAAGCAAATGCCAACAAGCTTTCAAGGAACTCAAAAAATATTTGGCGTCACCACCACTACTTTCCAAACTTCTTGACGGGGAGAAGCTATACATGTATTTGGGAATAGCAGTTGAGGCGGTGAGCTCGGTCCTACTAAGAAAGCAAGATGAGCAATAGAAACCATCTGTTATACGAGCAAAGCTTTGTAGGGTGCAAAGCGAAATTATCCTATTTTAGAAAAAGCTGCCTTCACCCTTGTTTATGCTGCTTGAAAATTAAGGGTATACTTATAATCCCATCAAATCGTTGTTTTTACTGACCTACCACTGAGGAAGTCATTACAAAAGCCTGACCTTTCTTGTCGACTAACTGGCTGGGCTATAGAACTCAACAAGTACGATGTCAAATTTGAACCTCGAACAACTATAAAAGGCCAAGCCCTTATAGATTTCATAGTTGAATGTCAGCCAACAACTACAGAGAAAGCCATACTTTCATACCTCATGTGGGCTTTGTATGTAGATGGAGCCAAAAATGTCAAGGGCTCTGGTGCTAAAGCAGTGCTAGTCGACTTAAACGGTTTCAAAACGGAGCATTCTTTGAGATTCAAGTTTTATGCAACCAATAATGCTGTCGAGTATGAAGCACTCATCTACGGCCTGAAATTAGCCTCTGAGCTAAAGGTACAAAACATAAAGGTCTTTAGTGAGTTAACGGGAGTTGCGATGTTAGAGATGCTCAACTCACTTGTTATTCTTTCGTGGTTAACCAATTAAAAGTGGGCTTTGCTTCGTTTTGGATTGACAAAATAACATGGGTAGATAATCGACGAGTTGATGAATTATCCAAGCTCCCTTCCTCGCAAAACATCAACCCTCAACGAACAACGTACGTAGAGGTATTGGACGCCCCAAGTTATGTCGACCCAATATCTAACTGTCAAATGTTAAATACTGATCCATTCGTGCCAAGCTAGACCACAGCACTAATTAATTATTTGCAAAATGGTGAACTACCTGAGAACTCATCTGAGGCTTGGATGGTCAGACGTAGAGCGGCCCATTTCACTTTAGTTGATGGCCAGTTGTATAAACGAGCTGTCTTAATGCTTTTATTACATTGCCTTACTCTTTATGAAGCTGAGTTGCTGTAAGGGAAGTACATGAAGCAGTATGTGGCACCCACATAGGTGGCAAAATGTTAGCTCGGAAACTTCTCAGGCAAGGATATTATTGGTCCAATATGGTTGAAGACGTGCAAAGCTATGTCAAAAAAGTGTCTAACCCACCAATTCAATTCCAATGATACCCACATGCCAAGTAACCCAACTTGTTCCAACATAAACACATAAGCCTATCTGTACTTCCTTAGTAACCATAAGACTAAAAATGTATTTCTCCTTTTATACAAGAGAAATGTTATCTCCCTTACATCGCCTTGGCCTTTCACTCAATGAGGAGTGGACCTACCCAACCCCTTCATTAAAGGCAAGGGAGGTTGCACATACCTAATTGTCGCCATAGATTACTTCATTAAGTGGATAAAAGCTAAGCCATTATCCATAACAACTAAGAAGAAGGTGGAAGAGTTCCTATTTAGTTCCATATTGTGCAGGTACTCTTTTAAGAAGTAAACCATGTACATTACATGTACAAATTTTGTTACTTAGCTCACCTGTCTGCGTGTAGGTTTGGCATTCCTAGACAAATTATTATTGACAACGGCCCTCAATTTTGAGCTGTGACACTCAGGTCATTTTGCGAAGACTATGGTATTGAGCTCATTCCTACATCTGTCTACACACCATAGACAAACGGCCAAGCAAAATTTGCTAATAAAAAGGTTCTACGCAACCTCAAAACGCATGTCCTAATTGCACAGACAAACTGGGTTGACGAGCTCAGTAGAGTATTATGGTCGTGTCAGACTACACCCAATTTGGCTACAGGTGAAACTCCGTTTTCCCTATCTTATGGAACTGAATTAGTCATCCTAGTTGAAGTTGGTTTGCTAAGTTAGAGATCTACCTCGTTTAATGAATGCGTTAACGAGCAACAACTCTAAGAGAATGTTGATATCATTGAAGAAACAAGGGAGCTCGCAAGGATAAGAAACATGGCCTATCAAAGTCATGTAGCTAAGTTTTAAATTAGGAAAGTTCGAGCTCATCAATTCCAAGTTGGTGACCTGGTCCTACGCAAAGCTGGGCTCACTAATACTTATTCGTACATGGGTAAACTTGCCCCTAATTGGGAAAGCCCTTACAAAGTAGTAGCTGTTAAATGACTTGGGACATACATCTTGCAAGATTCACACGGTTGTCAACTACCATTCACATGGAGTGTACATAACCTTAGGAAGTACTATAGCTAGTGGTTGTCATTAGTTTCATAACGTGAAATGCAGCATATATTCATACATCAATAACACTCAAAATGTTCAAAAGTAAATCCTTTCTTTAATTTCATAATTGGTTAATGTACACTGCCAAATTACATACGAGCTCATTCAAATAGCAAAAACTAACAAAAATAAAAAATACATAGATTTGCGCCAAATGCCTTCTTTTCTAGTCATCTATTAGGTCCACCGAAGGCACTGGTACCGCAACTCCATCATGAGCAAGTAAAAGAGCGGGCTAAGATTCTTTAGGAACAATCATTGGCTCAACTTTTGCATCGGGCATCCTAGCAACCCAAGCTTTAAAACTAGGTAAGGAATCCACATCTTCCCCCTTCCTCAAGAATTGACAAAGGGAAGACAAGCACCTCTTCCTCATTCAAGTTCCACTATAGTTGAACTATTATGTCAAATGGAGGGAGCAAGCTTTTTCCTTGCTCGTCAATCTCTTCTCCCTCCACGAACGTCAGCTCGCCTATGGGGAAATCAGGTCAGTGTTGCAAGACCTTACCATGGATGTCATCATATATTTGCATCGTGGCACTCATTGATGCAATGGCCAGAACGTCCTAAAAGGCACATGACTCAAGCAGCCACTCAGCTCCCTAGGTGTGGGCTATGTCCATAGATTATCGGTGCAACCTCTTCACGTCCTTCAAAGCCTTTTGAGCATGCCCAAGTTCTTGATCAGTCACATGGCCACACACAGCTTCAGGGCACTTAGCTCGTTCAGAGTGCTGTCCCGTTCAACCACTACTTTCTTTGCACATTCCTCAACTTGCTACACATCCTCTTTAACAGCTAGGATGCCATTCTCCTTCTCTGCCTGAGCTCTTTAAAGCTGTTCTCTTAACTCGAGTAGCTAGTTATTCAACCCATTTGCTTGGCTTTCAATTGCAGCAACTCTGTTGGCCATCACTGAGCTCTGAAGGTTATTAACCTCATCCTCTAGGCTGGCCTTTTCTACAAACATGCGTTTGCATTTCTCGGCCAACTCACGTGTCTGCCCCCAAGTGGCCTGTTCACACTCAAACAATGCCACAACATAGTTGACAGCTTGATATTCGACCCATAATTATTATTCTCAAAAGCAAACACTAGAAATTTGTAAAAGAATTCAATCATAGCACTTACATCCATCAGCTTAAGCATTGCAACCCTACCCCCATTCTCTTGCACGTAACTTTTGACCTTTTGCCTATAAACAAGAGGCACGAAGCTATGCATCCCTTATAGCCATATGGCAATCAACTTTAGTATAGTTAAAGCCCTTAGGGTATGCAATCCTGGGGCATAAGACTTGTGTTTGTGTTGACCTAGCTTCAGTTCCACCAATTGACGCAGTTGGAGGGATCTCAGACAAACGTACAAGGGTTGAATGGATCCCAGAGCTCGTTCAACGTCGCACAAGAGGCAGCATGTTGTCATCAGCATCCACCTCTTCTCTTTGGCATCAACATGAATCCGAGGGAGGAAGCTAAATTCATTACTTAGCATACATCCTTACAGACAAGCTAGAACCCCATTCTCTTTGAGAAGAGCTCTGTGGTGGTTTCGGTCGCTCGTCAAACCAGTTGTGCATGTGCAAGCTAGATTTTGCCCGCCAACCTCTAGACCTCTGTGCTTGTTCATGCTGCCTTTCCAACATGCTATTCATTTCTCCTGTACAAACAAATACAATAAAACTCAACTCGATTAAAAATTGAAATTTGAAAAAAGAAATATACCTTCGACATATAGGTTTGCAATATCTACAAACCCAAACGCCGCTAACTGCTTAAGGGTAACCAAGGCCTTAAAATCCACCAATCCCTCATCCTCAACGTAATCTAGCAATGCGTTCTTTAGATCCACATCACTTGGCACTAGTGTGGGATAATTCATATATGTTTGGGCTGTCCGCCACTCAGACATGTGAGCAACGAGCTCATTATTCACCCTTTTCATTCGTGCATCGCGAACAAAAATGAACAGCCTCTTCCATCTTGCGACCTTATTCTTTACATTGGTAATAAAACATCATCTTCTCCCTCCCAGATATATAGTACCACCTCGTCTAGTTACTACTCAACTTGCACTGAAAGAACGACCTGAATACCACTGCCTTTTACAAGTATTTCCAATCGTGCACATAGCAACATGAACCCTATGATAAACTTTATGTTATTTGGTGTCAGTTGCGTTAGTGCTAGCTTGTACTCTACAAGTACGTCAAAAATTAGTCCAAGCAGGGGAAACCATAAGCCGGCTTGAAAATGATCCACAGATACTCTATATCCATCCAGTTATTGACACTGAACATGCCCCCTCATTCCTAGTGCCAGCCCAAACTAATATCATCTTAGGGATTTGAAATCATTTCATTATCTCCCCTAATTTTTTGAATCCCTTTACGATGGCCGCATTGTCCACCACGTCATGATGAAGCACCACCGTGAAACTAATTTCGATTGAAAAATCTTGTGATGCCTTACGAATATTATCTAATTTCCCAACAAGGGGCTTATTCTCCCACACACCCATTATTGGTTCACTCTCTTCCATATTGGTCATGGTTGGAATGCCATTTCCTACCCTCGAACCCTCATCATCACTAGGTGTTGCTTCAGAAGACAGACTTTTATAAGAAGAAGAAGAATGGTGATTACTGGACCCCTTAACCGTGCTTGAACTGGTGCTACTTTCTGGCGTAATGGACTCTAGCAAATCTTGTAGTTTTGATGGTATTATCATTACAATAGGTTCCATTGAAACAACGCCTTCTCTTTCTTCCATCCCCTAGTTATCTCAAAACTCTCTAAGTTCCTTAAAACATTCCCTTTTTACATGAATTTCTGGACTTTGCTACAAACTTGAATACCCTTGCTATGGAGAATGGAAAAGAATAGTACAGAAAGAAAATAACCAAAGTGACAATAGGGTCATTTCCATTTCCTTTTTCTTCACCAATTTACACACCCTCGATTCCCGCACACATATCTCTGACATAGCCAATTAAGATTTCACACATGGCAACCGTTCAGAGTTGAGTGCCTAATATCCACAGGCTTTAGCTGTCACGTCTCTTCAGCTGTTGAACCAACATTATTGCCGAGGGGGTAGAGGGATATCGACCACTCTGAACCATATCTCCAAGAGATTTATTTCATTTGAATTTTGAAAAATTACATGGATAAGCTCATTCATGATCCGTACCTCATTAGAAATTTGTTTGAATTTTGAAAAAAAATTACATTGATAAGCTCGTTCTATATGAGCTCATTCATGATCTGCACCTCGTTAGATATTCATGAATTTTGAAAATTTTGTTAAGTGAGCTCGACCAAGATGAACTCCTTCAAAAGCCATATCTCCTCAGAGAGTGGTTTTTGAATTGTGAAAATTTTACTAGATGAACTTGTTCGAGAAAAGGCACACTACTAAACTGTCATTGCTCACACTTCAGCTCGCCCAAATCTTACAAAAATCGTTGGACACATGTGCCTGCTTCAAGACACCGCGATTCTGCCTCAGCTCATTGAGATTGAGGCTGAGTTCGCATAAAACCCATGAGGTGCTAAAAAAGCTTATGGCCGTGGTGAGCTCATCCATAAACCAGGTCCCTCCAGGTGGTTGTTGGGCTACCATTGTAATTGCCATAATTCATTGGGAGTAATGTTGGGGAATAAGCCCAACACTCATAACGGGCTTAGCTCAGCAGACCCACTTACATGTACAGGCCTTGAAAGATGAACCCAGGTGTGGATGCACTCATGTGGATGTTGACACTTGGATTAACTAGGTGCTTGCACATAGCATAACCTATCATTAATGGAGGCTATAAATACACCATCTACCCCCATGTAAGGGCATTAATTCCACTACGCTTCTTGCTCTATAATTATTCTTCTTGAGAGCTTCTTCCTTTAAAAGTAGAATATTACTTACTTGGGCGTTGGAGTGTTTTCTCGATAAAACATCCTTGGGTATTTCAAGTGTTGAAGCAACGAAGGATCTACACAATAAGAGTTCGAGAAGTTGCCCAAACAAAATCTAAATAAAAACTTACCAATCCTGGTGCCACCACAAGAAAGAAGAAACAAAGAGTTGATCTTCTATTGGAGGGCATAATGTTGGCAAAGGAAAACCTAGAAATGTCTGGGCACTCAAATCAGCCACAAGAACCCAGATTTGGGTTATCCATTGAAGCAGGAAACCTAAATCTTGTCAGCGATGAGCCCATGCCCCAATATGCAATGGTGAGCTTGAATCCTAATCTCGTCGTAGTCTTGTCAAGATCAGGAATCCAATGAAGGATGAGAAGAAAGAACAAGAAAGAACAAGGGGAAGAGAGGAGGAAAGAGAAAGGTCACTATGTTTGGATTGGGGGAGTTGGATGGGAAGGGAAGGAGGGGAAGAAGGGGAAGGAGAGTGAGGGGAGAGAGCATTTGTTTGGATTAATAATTTTTGTAGAAGGGAGAGAGATGGAACCCTTCACCTTTTCTATTTTCAATCCATTCAATAAATTATTTAACTTATTTTTATTTTTAATTTTTTAAATAAATATGTATAAATATTTTATTCTATTTAATTTATTTATTTCATAAATTTTAAAATTTTTTTATTTTTTAAAAATTATTTAATTAAATAAAAATATTATTTTTTATTTCTATTTAATTTTGTTTATTTAAACAAAATTAATATTAACCTTTTGTTTTCCTTCTTCTCACCTCCCTTTCCTCTTCTTTCTTACCTTTCTTTTACTGATTTTTATCTAAATAAAAGCTAAAGGTTTAGGAAAAGAGGTTTAAGGGCAATTTTGTAATTCACTTTCTTATTTGTTTTTCTATTTCATTGGGCCGATGCGGTGAAAATAAATATTTTAGAGATTTCATTGGACCAGCGGACGTGGAGAAGGAAAAAAATAGAAAAATTGCCACATAAGACTAAAATGGGTAGAAGTGGGCCAATGTCAGCATCCAAGTCATAAAAATGGCTCCAACATGTTTAAAAGGTCGATCTCAGCCTACCTTTAACGATTTATTCACATGGCATGGGTAAACAATTAAATAATAAATGATTTGTATCATTTGAGAGTGTCATTTGTTTTTGTATTTTTTTAGAGGTAAGTTTGTTCCTACCTGTCTATTTATGGAGTGAATTAAGGGTCCTGTCTTATTGGATATAGCGACATCATCTCCGACTGTTGGATTGAACTAATTAAGCAGCTAATTTTAAATTTCTTGAAGCATGAAGGAATACCTGCATTCGCCAGGGGAAGTCGCCACAAGGCTTAACCTGGCGGTGGTTCCTGTAGAAATTCTGGCGAACTTCTTCCACCTGGGCTCTTTCTTCAGGGGTACCGGCGTCGGGATCGAATTCCCACGTCTGTCTCCCTACGTAGTTGTTTGTGCTGTAGAGGTAGGGACCGTCCACGCCCTCTCCAATCTTCAGCTTCCACATTTTTGGTTCAAAATTCAATCAGAAACCGCTCACCTAGGCCTTCTCTCTTCTCTCTGTTGCATAAAAAATGCAGAAATTCTTAAGTACTTGAAAATTTTTATAAAGAAATTAATTCGAAAACAGCTATATATGATGGGGTGATAGCCGGAAATCAGTCACCTGAGAATTGCAGAGGCCTCTGTAAGCTTTATTCAGGGACGGTTTGGCAGAGAAAGAAAGAAGGAATGAAATAAGGTTGAAGAAGAAACTTAAGCATGGGACTGTGGGAGAATGATAAGAGATACTTATATCGGTCGATATGGTACCTTTCTCTCACACCAACCCCACCCCCCCCAAAAAAAAAAACAGAAAGAAAAGGTCATGGACCTTCCCCAACCGTAGTAATTAATTTCGGTTGTTGTTCTCTTTTTCAAAATATCTGTTTAAGGTCCAGCACTTGGTGGCCTAATGACCACCCTTTGTGGGACGTGCTTAGGATTAGAGAACTTGAGATCAAATCCCAAGTCTCCCATTTCCCTTTCCCCGAAAAAAGATTCCACGCTGTTCAAAAAAAAATATCTGTTTAAGTCAATACAAGTATTCGTGCCACGTTGCACTAGCTATATTAGATAGGGTATAAATTTATCAAGATTAAGACCTTGCTATAAACTTTGTAAAATTAATTTTCTTTTCCCCAAATTCCTCATTTTAAAACAAAAAGTCAATAGAAATATTCTTAGTACTTTCTTTTTTAACTTGCCCAAGCATTATAAACTTTAAAAATTTTATCATTTATGAGTTTAGGTAAGTAGGCAAATGGAGTTATCATTTTAATCAAAGTTAATTTTAGTTGGAAAATGGAATATAACATGCACATGCTATAACTCTGAAATGAATCAGCGAGCTAGGGAAGGCAATGAGTCCCACATGGGGTGGGACTCCCCCTTCATCCTTATTTCTACTGATGATAAGTATGGGAATCTTGAAGAAATTTTTAGCGAAAAGTTAAAAATGCCTTTTGTCTTCATACTTGTGAGGAATGATAGTTCTTTATGAGTATACGAATTTCCCATCAAATATTAATTATATGGAATTTAACTTTATTTTTTTCAATAAATTAAAAAAAGTAAAAATTTGAAACAACTCAAATAAACAAATACATTACACCTACAGTTTAGCAATATCCAACTCCAACAAATACATATTGCTATATGAATGCCAATTGATTTATTAAACCGAGTTTATTGAATTGAGTTTGGGGAAGATTGGAAGGGAATTAGGCTAGGCAATTTAAGTTGGGTTCGGTTGACTAATTGGATTGAGTGACTAAAAATTAATTAGTAATATATTTATAAAAATATATAAAAAGAAATTTATATTTTTTTTATTACATACCAATTTGCATATGTCCTCACGAAGTGGAGGAAATTCCTTGTGAAATTTTGCCAAAAAAATATGCCTCCATCCCGGTCTCGCGAAAAAGAATATTTTTCAAATCTCCATCCCTGTGAAGCTCCACAGGTCTCAAAGGAATTGCCATCCTTATAGTAAGTTGATCGTTTTAAGACTTCTGTATTCTTACTACCATTGAGATAAGATTTTATCTATAGATATAAAAAATTAAGTATATTTTTTAAAGTAATTTCAAAGTTTTTATTTTGAAGTCAAAATCAAAGACCCCCCTACGATACTTCACAAGTGCCTGATGTGGGTAAATGTTTCTATAAGTTGTATAGTATAACATGCTGTTCTTATTGAAGACTCCAATGATTTTCTGCATAAATAAGAGATATATTGTTGGTTAATGTTGAATCCTGTCATCCTACAAGCAAAGGAAGTGGTTTAGACCAAATCTAGGCACCACTAAGTTTTTGGTTTTAGCAAACAATAATCAGCAACATAGTTTAGTTTGTTGGTGAAAGCTGGAATCAACAACATGGCATACATTGCTAATTGATGCAATAATATCAACTACCACCCTTTTGTGGGTCTTATAATCAATAACAAGGATTATGTTGCTGCAAAAAAAATTAACAACATATTTCTTCTTGTTAAAATTTTTCAACTGTCGTGCATCCAACATGTTCCTAATTTACATTATCCGGTTTCTATTATAGAACCATTATACACCTCTTTCTTTCTAATATTTTCTTTTTATCCTTCACTCTTTGAATTCAATTTGTTTTTTTCACCCCTCATATAATTATTTTCTTTATTTTTATTTACAAATAATTATTTTTATAGATTACAAAACTCTTTTTCCTATTGCTTTATGAACAAATTTTTTTTTTAATCCATCTATAACAATCTTATATTATCATATGTACTATGTACTAAATGGATAGACAAGGAGTTGTTTCTAATGAGAAATTAAAGTTACTTAGTGAATAATTAAAGTTAATCATATTATCATTTCAAGATTAAGAAATAAATATTTATTTTTACCAAGAAAATAAATATTTCTATATAAAATGTTTACATGAACTCAAAGTTATGTCCACATCATTTTTTTGATAAAACATATTTTTCACATCATTTTTAAAAAAAAAAAAAGTAAATCATGCAATTCTATTGATTAATATGTAAGATGTAAACAAACTTAATAGAGTAATCAAAAACTAGTACAAAAATAAATTTTAGGAAGTTTTTTTAGTATAAGGTAATAAAAAATAATTTTTCATTTTTTGATTTTAGCAAGCAATAATCAGCAACATGGCTTGGTTTGTTGGTGAAAGTGAGATTGACCAACATGGTGCAAGTTACTAATTGATGCAACAGTATTAATTTGTGCGTGTTACAATCAGCAACAAGAAATATGTCGCTAAAATATAAAATAGCAACATATTTCTTATTGCTAAAATTTTCCAGTCAACTGAAGATTTAGCAATGTATAACATATTCTTAATTTTGTATTTTTCATCCCTTTCTTTCTAATCTTTTCTTTTTTATCCCTTATTGTCTCAATTCAATTCATATTTTTCACTCCTCATATAATTATTTTTTTTATTTTTAATTACAAGTAATTATTTTTGTAAATTACTTAACTTTTTTTATTGCTTTATTAACAAGTATTTTTTTAATCTATTTATAACAATCTTCTAGTCCTGTATATAATATTTGCTAAATAGACAGTCAAAGAGTTCTTTTTTCTAATCAAATCATTAGATTAATGAGTTAATATAATAAGTAATTAAATTTAGTTAGTGAATAATTAAAGTTAATCATATTATCATTTCAAGATTAAGAAATAAAAATTTATTTTTACCAAAAAATAAATATTTTTTTACGAAATGCTTACATAAACTCAAAGTTATGTCCA